CCCCCCCCCCCCCTCTCTCTCACTCTTTGCTAGCCAAATGGCATTTTGGCATCGCAAAATAACGAGAAAATCCACCTTCCCCAAGGAGGAAAAGGAAGAAGAAGAAGAATGTTTCATGTGATTACACTTTATACTAATTGTTAGTTTGCGAATAAATTTTCCACACTTACATAAACTTCTGACGATCGGCTCTCCAATTTGGCGCGAACATTTCTTCTCGAAGAGCAATGAATTGGGAGAGAATTCGGAGGTATGAACTCTCGGTATTCACTAGCTCCTCCATGACGAGGAGTAACATGGAGCGTATCTGGTCCACTTCCTCTTTTACGCCTGGTGGGAGATTGACGGTTGATGAGGGGATTGAGTTTACTTTCTTCTCATTGGATGATTTCGTGGGGGGTTCCAGCGAGGCGTCCACATACCAGAAATGAGGTCGTCCATTTTCGGGCGGAGGAAATCTCCCCTCAGCTATATTGGAGTGAAAAATAGGTCTCAGTCGACCCATTGGAAAATTTTAATATGAGAGTGCAGCTGCCTGGTAGGAATATGTGTGGTCGTGTTAAATGGGCTTAATTGCGTTGCTCGCATCTTTATTCGTAGATAAAGATCATTCCTTAATTTTTAAGTGGATTGACAGCATTGCGTAGCGGGTTAAGAACTAATTTTACCAATTTACGGGTTAATTTAATTTGGGAGGAAGCCAGTATGATTCCATGAAAGCCAATTAAAAATCACGTTTCCTAAGGCCTCTTTGTCATGTTTCACCTTCAATAGACCAGACATTGTGGTGGGGGGTGGTGAGTGAATCAATAAATAGTGAGATTGGTAATCCAAAAATATCAAGGTTATCTAGAGATGTTGCAAATATTGTGAATATGGCTCGTTCTTTAACTCTGAAATCAAAAATGTATACTTTACTTATTAATTTTACATTGTACCACTAGAAACAAGCAAAGTATAATTTGTTTTTGAGATCTGGAATTAAATTTCCTTTTCGGCCTAATTCAAAAAAGCGAACACATTTTCTCCTCGTAGATTAGGTTATTAAAACAACAAATGAGATTTTGAGATTACTTTCAGAGGAATTCTTTTCATTTAGAAGTTAATCCGATCGATTCAAACTTCACCCTTTTTTCGCTTACTGAAATTTAAATTAAGTAGTTAGTGATTAGAAGATGTGATTTGGTCGAGATAATGTTACTTCAAGCAAAGCATTAAACGCATTGCCATTTTTGTTCACAACACTTAAAAGGAAGGCAAGGAATTCGGGTCAGATGTTAAGGCTTTAAATCGCACTTTCATTTAAGGCGAATCACCTGAAAATAATAGTGCAATTTAACTTATCACAAGTAAATGCGTGTTTACCCAAAATGACATAATAATTATTATTATAGTAATGACATAAAATTAAAGCCATCATTAGGCAAGTTGTCTTTTTTTTATTTTACCAAATCCCAAGGAAGTAATATGATCTCGTGTGACCTTAAAAGAAGCAGAATTAACTCACAATAGCGCAGACGGTGTGTGTAACTTGGTGCACTCTGGGCAACGTATACTCATACGGAAAAAGTCTATTATTCGGCAGTTGACTTCTGACTTCAAACTACCATGACCCCATTGTATGTCATATTCGACCCCTTCCGCGGTACTCATCTCACCTTTTCTCTGACTTTGTGTCTGTCTGTCTCTTTTACGTCTGTGAATCATTATTCTGTCCCCCCTCTCGACTTTTTGCCACTTGTATGTTCATCTTCCTTTCTGTGAAGCACGAAATCAACTAAAGGGCTAGTGATAACTATCAAAACGCCTGCCATTTGAAATAAATAAGTAAATAAATTGTCAAGCGAATGAAGTTCTAAGCGCTGGATACTACGGACACTCGTATTGGAATTAGACTGAAAGGATGAGCGATCTACAGAATTGGTTAATTTTAAGTTGGAGTCCTTAATAGTAACATGGAATTGCTTGTAACACACTTCTATTTTACTGGTAGATGTAACTCAACAAAAGCAACAGGCATTACCTCGGAAAATTCTGCTCTTTAAAAATGTATTTTTTTCATAATTTGCCAGTTCTACACAAAGTTAGCATAACGGGTTCACACAACATTGACGTTTCGACTGAAATTCGCACAGAGAGAAAAGGTCTCCAGCTTCCAAAAACTCCCTAGAACCCAAATCCTTATTTTTTCCGTGGAAGTGGAATTGTTTCCACACCTACCTCGGTAGGATAGTCAACGACTTCCGAAGTCCATAGTACATTGATGACGGTGAGCAAGTTAGAGAACACAAAACAAGGCCTGGAGATCAAAATATTTCAATCCCTCTGTTAAAAAGGGAATAGTTTGATAACAAAATGGACTAGATGAAAGTCTCAGTGACTGCGAATTTAAAATCTAACACAACTTTAATAGCTGAAATTGAGGGGTGCGCAATAGACTTACCTCCACGTGGTGCACTCTGGGCAACGTGTACTCAAACTTCAAACTGCTATGACCAGATTGTTTATCATATGCGACCTCTTTCACAGTACTCATCTTATCTTTTCTCTACCATTGTGTCTGTCTGTCTTTTTTTTACATCTATGAATCACTCTTCTCTTCCAACCCTCTTCACTTTTTGTCACTTTGATATTCCTCCTCTCTTTGTGAAGCCCGAAGTCAGCTAAAGAACTAATGATAACTATCAAAACTCCTGCCATTTGAAATAAATAAATATCTGAAATTGAAAATCTCATTTTTTTACTTAATCAAATAAAAGTTCAAGCTCAATTATTTGCTACTACTTCATTTTAAATGAATTTAAAAACATGGTCAGAATTTTAATGCAACACCTTTTGAAATCGCTTCAGCAAGTTTTCACAGTACTAAGACTTCGCAGGAGTGACTGAATTATTATCGATCTATTGAGAAAAAAAGAATTTTCCGCTCATTTCAAGATTGGCTAATAGGGCAACGCACTGGACAAGTGACACCCATTAGCATTCGCATTCAACATGGATATATTTAAAAAGTTAAAATTTGCAATCGGAATTAATAAAATTTTAAAATAATGACTATTTGGGTGGGGTGGGGAGGTGGGGGGTTGGAGAGGTTGATGCCGCTTTAATTTCCTTGACGTGCAGAGATGGAAGTTGGAATACGATAAAATTTTTGTCTTGTGTGGTAATCAAGTCAGCATCATTAATTCTACCGTCTATATGTGCCTTGAATATATTTTAGAGTATTCAGAAATTAGTCTCCTCCCTCAAATTGAGAATATGCGAATGTTTCTCTCTAATATTCGGCTTTAAAGATAAAAAAGTCCCCATGGATGCATTTTGACTATCTACATAGGTGTTTTTAACACGTTAAATGCAATTGCCGAAACCGCCGATGCCATTATGTTTGGGTTGCTATAGCATCAGTGCCTCTGGTATTCAAATAAAAGAGTTGAACACACATTTTCTATTAATTCAAACCTCTATCAACAGCGACTGGGCTGAAAATGGTGTTCTTTTAAATGCGGGTAAATTAATTGAGAATTCCAGAAGTAAGGTTAAGTGTGTACCATCGAGGATATAGGTCCACTAAAACTGCATTCACCAAATGATTAGAAGCAAGACAATTTGCATATCCCTTAAAGTTATTTCCAAGTGTGTAAGTAGTGTAAACTTCATTCAAATTTTGTTAGTCGATGATGTTCTGGAGGTCTTTAGCATACACTCCTCCTACGGGCTAAAAAATTGAACAGTGCGGTTGATCATTCACAGAAGTGGATACGTGTCGATATCCCCCACCCCCCCCCACCCCCGCCCTCAATCGATTGCAGTTCTATGATCCAACATTGCTCCGTTCTCTTCATCGAATGCGTAAAAAGCACTCACTTTGATCCCCCCAAAAAAAAACAGCGTAATCCACTTAACGAACTGTGAATTTAATGACGTTTTAACTGCGATGAAACAGATAATGTGCATAACCTAGACTCATTGCATGCCTTTTATAAGCAAGGCCAATTGTGGCGTTGAGGATAATTTCCTAATTCCAAGTTCTTAAAGTAAAATATGAACACGTTTCTCCATTTTGATCCAAAGATGAGAGGTTAAAACAAACGTTTTATTAAGTGGCTTCATGTCAAATTGATTTCTAATAGCCACATCTTTACTGACAATGCGATTCTAAATGAGAAGTCGTACAAAGTTATCAGCACGGCATGGCCCACTTTGGGGGTGTGCGATAGACTTACCTCTACGTGGTGCACCCTGGGCAACGTATACTCATACGGCAAAATAGTCTATCAACCGGCAGTTGACTTCTGACTTCAAACTACCCTCACCCCATTGTATGTCATTGTCGACTACTTCCACAGTACTCACCTCCCCCTTTTCTACTTTTGTGCCTCTCTCTTTTACATCTTTGAAACTCTCATCTGTTCCTCCTCTCCCTCTCGACTTGTTTCACTTTGATGTTCATTCTCCTCTGTGAAGCCTGAAGTCAACTAAAGGGCTAATGATAACCGTCAAAACGCCTGCCATTTTATATAAATACTTTGATGCTACTTCAGACCTGTAACCACAGATCCACTTGAGCTTCGATTGAAAATGACAAAATTTTAGTTGGTATTTCAAGTAGACACACATTTTGTCTGCTTAGTGTATCAAAGGAGGATAGTCAATTTGAAATTCATTGAAGAGTCTTACAACTGCCCCTATAGTAAGTGACTGAAGTGCACAAAATATTCGGCAAGATTTGGAAATGCATTCTTTTTGTCCACTTGCATTTTTATCAGCATCAAACGATTTATAAGTTGGCAGTACCCTAAAATTTAGTTATTGGTGAATTTTATTGTCCACTTCCTAAGAAATGAAAGACCTGAATCATGAATTCGGTGCTGTATCAGTAGGCCAAGGGACAAACGGGTGAGTCTCTTCATTAGGTAGAGTTCAGACTCAAATTCCTAATTTTGGTCCATAATAGATAAAGATCATATCTCAATACTTAAAAAAGGGTTAAAAAAATTCGATTTTGAATCATGATATCTGGTTTCTGTTGTATTGTTTTGTTCGGTTCTTCTTGACACCTTCGACTTAACTGATCGGCTATTCCATGCTGTTTCAGTGCCGTTTACGTCACTTGTCAATGCCCCCCAGAACGCCATAATAGGGTCATTCTGACCTTGCCACCGCCTTGGGACTAAATATTGGCAGTCCAATGATACCCCAGGTCCATCTTGTCATGCCTTGTCTCATGGATCACCATTTAAATGATTTTTATTCAGTCCTACCTAATTAAAGAGAGTTGAAGTAGGGGAAGGCACTTCAGGTAATAATGACTAGACTGCATTAAGACGAATTCGTATTATGCTCAAATTGTAAAGCTCAAAGCAGGAAGTTTGAGAGGCAAGAATCTATCAATGTAGTCGAAATCGTCAATAGGGAGGAGAAGTGGTAGCCCACGGGTTTACGAATAACGTTAATATTTACTGGAGGGCAAAAAAATTCGTCGAAAGGATAAGAAAAATCGTTTGG